CCCCCCCCCCCCCCCCCCCCCCCCCCCACAACCCTTTCAGCTCTGCTCCCTGGCTGTGCTCGTTGGCAGCGATATGAATAACTCTTTGTATAGACATCTGTCATGTTATTTATACCTATCCGTGAGGGGAAGGGAACAGGCACAGCGCTGTGTGGCACCCATGGGCGTCCGTGGGACAGCGCTGGGGGCGGGGGTTCGGGGGACGCCCGGGGGTCCCCGTGTGGCGGTGCCACGTGTGCAGGGGACGGAGCGGTGTGGGAAGGGGCCGCGCTGCCCCCCCCCCCGCCGCCGCCGTCATCCAGCAGTGCGGGCAGAGGGGGCGATGGAGGAGGAGGAGGAGGAAGAGGAGGAGGTGGGGATGTGTCTGGGAGTCCCGTGGGCGCGGGGACCCTCCGGTGTCCCTATGGAGCTGAACGGGATGAGACGGGGAGTGGGGACCCCGGTGATGCTGGGGGGCACCGGGTTCTTCTCGGCACCCAACCTCGCGGGGAGGGAGAAGGCTGATGCGTTTCTCCACCTCCGGAGCCTCTCCCGCTTGTAGGAACGGCGCTGAGGTGCTGTTCGCCCCCTCTGCCCACTGCCACCTGCGGAGCCGCAGAGCCCACGGCCGCGGTGTGAGCCGGGGGAGACCCTCCCGTGAGTCAGCGCTGCCCCCGCCGCCGGTGCTCGGGGTGCAGGCGGGGACGGAGGAGGGTCGGGGTCACCGTGTGGTGATGCACCCTGAGGTGCTCCCCGCACGGATCCGGAGCTCTATAAATACCCCCCAGCCCCCTCCGTTGGGAAACCGGAGCTCGCAGCGAAGCCGTGGCCGTGCCCGAGGAGCGGGGCCGGCAGCTGTTGCGTGGATGGGGATTTCGGTGCCGCCGGCCCTGGCCCAGCTCCAGCGCGGCCCCATTAGAGATGCCACGCGCTCCTTGGGGCTGAGGGAGGACCCCGGCGCGGTGCGGTGCGGCCGCGCTCCGCTCCCTGCCCACCCTTTGGGGACGGTTGGGGGCACACGAATGGCACGCGGTGCGAGCAGCGCACGTGTCGGGGTCCCTCGTGGCACCGCGGTGTCGGTGCCCCCCCAGATGAGGTTTCGGTGCCCCCACGGTGTTGTTTATGGGAGCCAACAGCAGCTCTTCCTGCTGCGTTTCTCCGTGACCAGAGCTGGGCTCCGGCGGTGCTGCGCGGCTGCGTTGTGCCAACCTGCCCCATAGCCGTGCAGGGGGGGTTGCCAAGCTGCCCCATAGCAACACCAGGGGGGCTGCCAACCTGCCCCATAGCCGTGCCAGGGGGGTCTGCCATCCTGCCCTATAGGCACAACTTGGAGGTCAGCCCCCTGCGCTGCACCCTCGGAGCTCTGCCGTGGGGACATGCGGTGCTGGGGCCGTGCTGGCACCCATCTGCCTGTGTGCTCACCCATAGGGTGTCCCCACGGAGGAGGTGACACGGGGTCGGTGCTGGCAGGCAGCAGAGGAGGGATGCACCGGGCATGGGATTTTCCCATCTGCCACCCATCCTCACCATGCTGGGTTGGCACCGTGCACGGCACCCGGTGCCAGGACCCCCGTCGGGGAGCATCGGAGCATCCCACGGTTTGTGGGGTGGGGTGATGCCAAAGCTCTGCAGCCACGCTGGCAGCGGGAGGGTTAAAGATGTCTAGACGGCGACTGAGATTGGCCCTAAAGGATGCCAGATCCGTTGCGGGAGTGACATCTCTGCAATTAATCCCGGTGTTCCCCCAGGCACCGCTTCACTATAAATAGCCGCCGTGCTGCCGGAGCGCTCGGGGTCCCGAAGCCTCGGGGTCCGGCGTGGGTCCCGTGGGCAGGGCGGGCGCTTCAAGGGAGGAGGGGGGGTGGGGGGTCCTTGGCACGAGCCCTCCCTGGGGGCCGCCTATTAATAGCGTTGTTTGGTCCCGGCACTTCTCTCAACACGGCCATTATGTGCAGACAATTGCACGGCGGGTGCCAAGTGCTGGAGCCGCTCACAATGCGCGGCCGGAGCGCCCCGTGCCGCCTCTGCTCGGGGGAAACGTTACCCTAAATAATCCCACGCGTTGGAAAAGCCCCACGGTGGGGGTTATGGGATGGGGGAGGAGGCGGTGCCGTGCCGTGAGCGCGCCGGGTCTCAGCACGGTGATGGGATGGATGCTGCCGTCCGTCTGTCCGTCCTGCTGTCCCCTCTCTATGGCACCACTGTGTCAGCGCTGGGGTTGAGCGAGGGACTCCCTGCGACCAAATAGGGTCTGGGGTCTCGCACGGGGAAAATGAACCCAGCCCCTCCCCAGAGGGACCTGTAGGAGGTGGGGAGCGTTTTGCTGTAGTCACCACTGAATCAGGGGTTGATTTACGTAGAGCTAATTAGCAGGAGGGTCTTAATTGGCTCACCCATCAGGGTGCCATACTGCTGGGCTGGGTGCGGGTGGGTGGCTGAAGCTGCGGGGAGGGCGGTGGGTTCACCATGGGGGTCCCTCGGTTCCATCCCCATCGCTGACCCCAACTCCCCTCCTCTCTTCCTGCAGGACTCCATGTTCTCCCTGGCCCTGAAATGCCTTATCAGCCTCTCCACCGTCATCCTGCTGGGGCTCATCATCGCCTACCACACGCGGGAGGTGCAGGTACGTCCGAGGACTCATCCCCGAACGGTCCGTGCGCTCTGCAAGGCTTTGGAAGCAAGGATGTCCGCTGCCATCCCCATCCCACCCCTCTCACGGGGACAAACGGCCGCAGGAGCGATGGGTCCCCATCCTTCTCACCCCCCTCACGCTCCCCTCAGCCGGGTGTGAGCCGCAGCTTTTCACCTCTCCCTGTTTGTAGGACGGGGAGGGTCCCGCATTTCTGCTCTTTCACCGCACGGCCGCTCTGCCAAGGAAAGCTGTGAAATACTTTCCTAATCACGCCGCCCATTCTCTTCCTTTCTGCCCTCTCCGGCTTTGCGGGGAGATAAAGGCTCTGGTTCGGCCCGCTCCGATGCCAGCGTTTTGGGGCTGCGGGGGGTCGGGCGCAGCGTGCAGACCGTGCCCTGGGTCTGGGGGCGTCCCCCAGTGCGACCCTGACCCAACACCGCCGTCCCCACAGCACCCATCCCTCGGGAGCAGCCGAGGAAAGGCGCGGGAGCAGCCGCCTTCCTGCCGGGCCCGCGGCCAAACCGGGGCTGTGGTCACCGATCAGCGATGCCGGGAGTTGCCGGCTTCATTCCGCATCCACCGGGGGGACACCGGGAGCGCCGAGCGCGGTCCCCTCCTCCTGCGCTGCGTTCTGTGCGCGCCGTCGGGGCTGAGCTCCCCAGTGCAGAGCAGCGCAGGAGATCTCTGCCCCTTCCACGGTCGAAAGGCCGCCCAGAACAAATATTTGAGAAGCTGCGCTGTGCTGCAATAATATTTACCCCCAGGGTCGCTGTGTTTCTGCCCGGCCGGGCTGAACCCGGCTCGCCGCCGCTTCCTTCCTCCCGCTTCTTGTTCTCGGTTCCGTCCTCCCGTCCCGGCTGAGCCCCGCTCAGCGCGCAGGGCAGGGCG